GGGGAAAGGAGGGAGGAGGGGGTTGGGGAGGGACCTGGGTTAGACTGGACAGAGAAGGGGTCTGTTCCTCTCCATGGAGGGGGCAAGGGGTGGGGAAGGGGAAGGAGGTGGGAGAAGGTGAAGGCAGGCTGGACCTGCGGAGAGGAAGGACAGGGTATAGAAGATACAGACGGCAGACAGAAAAATACAGAAGAGAGGTGGAAGAGGGGAAGGGAAATGGGACAGGGCAGACAGAAAGGAATGGGGAAACAGAAGAGACAAGTGGTTAGTGACTTGGAATTCAGACCAGTTGCCCCCCTTCTTCCACCCTCAGGCCCCCTGGTGCCTCCCTCACCCCAGCAACCCCCTTTGTCAGCAGGGACCCAGATAGAAAAGTCTGAGATTGGGGGTAGGGTCAAGATGTGGTAAAAGTCCAGGACACAGCCATAAGAGAAGGAGGGCCAGCTCTCCAGACCCAGCCCACCCCCTTCCAGCAGTTTTATCCCTCCCAGGCAGGTTCTCCTCAGGGACTCAGGAGTTCTAGTTCCTACCTCCCTGGGAGGGATGAAATAGACAAGGAAGAGAAAATAAAAGTACCAAGTCATTAATTAGCAGGAAGTGGCAGGTTTGTTTATACGTGTTAATTACTCCTGAGCTGTAATTTCATGGCACTGAACCCCCACACCAGGCCAGACTGAGGCCTTTCTGGGGACTGCACAAGCCCAGCACCTCCTCTTCCCTTCAACATCCCATTCCCTAAGGATTCGTGCAGCAGAGGTACCCCTTTCCTCCAGGCTCTCTCCATTTCTTCCCCTAGAAGTTAAGGTGCCTTGAGTCAGGGGCTAGAGTAGGAAGGGGATGCTGGGGGGCAAATCCGGGGACAGATTCAGTGATCTTGCAGCTGGTTGCCCGGCGACAGGATGCTGCCCTGCAATGTTACCTCGGCAACGGGCTGCAGCTTTAACCCCGGAGCAGGGTTCTGGAGGAAGAGGGGAAGGGGCTGGGTTGGTTATGGGATCCATTCAGGGCATGAGGGCAGAGAGGCATGAGTCAGAACGCTAGAGTTTCTCCCAACCTTAGTATACAGGAAGAAGTATATATGTTGAAGGGAGCAGAAGATTGGGGACATGGAGAACCCTAAAAGACCCGCCTCTTGCCCCTTGTTGGCCAATCAGAGCCTAGTCCTAGTGACCAGGCCTCTGGCTGGGGAGAAGGGGTGCTGAGGTGGGTTTGGAGGGCATCAGATGCACACACTGACTGCCTCCCCACAGTCTTATACAGCTTTGAACACAAACACTTCTTCCATGCACAGCATTTTGACACATGTCCTGGGGGCAAACCTCGGTTTTCTTCTCATCCCATCCCAGCTATTCACCTCCCTTTCCTCTTGCCAGCCCCTCACAGTTGCTGCTCTGATGCCTGGGTGCTCAGGGTAGCAGAGGCAGGACAAGGGAAGAGATCAGACTGAAGGGGCAGACACTCAGGTCATTTCAGCATCCCCCCCCACCCCACCCCAGCAGCCAGAGCTGTTTGCTGACTCGGGGTTTTCAGAGCCAGGCGCCAGCCCGCGGGTGGCTCTCTGCAGGTGTCAATTTATTCCAGAGATGAGGACACAGGAATCCTTACCACACACACCCAGTCATGCCCTCCCCCTCTTCAGGTCCTCTTAAGCTCCTATAACCCAATCACCTGGAGGGGGCTTGGGTTGGCTCCCTCAGGATCTCCTCTGTCCATGCCAGGCTGGGCTCTGCTTCCATGGCCTTGCCACCCCCTCCCCCCTTCCACTAACAGTCTCTGTCATCCCCCTCCCTTAAGGTACTTTGGGCCCCTGGCTTTCTTCCTGCCAGCTTCTCTTCTTCCTTCCCACTGCCCCCCACCCCTGAGCATCTTTCCTCACCTCTTCCAGGCTGCTTCAGCTCTTGCCTTCAATCTCTGGCCCTCAGTCTTTTTTCATCTCTCTTCTATGTCTCCCTCCTTAGTGTTTCTCATCTTTCTCTCTCCTTCAAATCCCTTCCCCAAATTTCTCCCTCAAGCCTCCCCTATTTCTCTCTCTTTCTCCCTCTCCCCTCTCCTCTTTCCCTATCTCTGTCTCCCCCATTTTCTCTCCCCTGCTCTCTCCATCTCTGTCTGCCACATCTTGCTCCCCCCTCCTCCCTATCCTTGTGCCTCGCTCTCTCCATTCCTGCCCAGGCCTGACTCCCCCAGCCGGGGAGAGTTGAGGGACGGGGGCTCAGGCCGCAGCCCCCCCCCCTTCCTGCAGTGGGGAAAATGGCTTGGCCGGGAAGAGGAGAAGGAGGGGGAGGGGGAGATGGGAACACACGGGGTCTGTGGACCCATTCAAAGGATCATTCATAGGCTGGAGAGAGGCAGAGACAAAGAGACCGAGACACAGAGACACGGCGAGAGCATCCCTAGGCGGAGACACGCAGACAGAGCAGGATGGGGGAAACCAGGCGCAGGGAGAGAGGTGGGGGGTGGGAGACCCCAGCGGACCGCCACGCAGTCCCCTCCACCCGGCCCAGCTTAGCTCCTACCTGGCTCAGCCCTGGGGCCGTGGTGCCTCCATCCAGGGCTCCGAGTAGGGGACGGACGGGCTTCGGGAAGGGGGCGGCGGCCTCTGAGCCCCCGCGGTCCCGCAGGCCCAGCCCCCGCCCGCAGCGCCTCACCCGGCGGGGGAGCGGGATCGCCCCAGCCCCAGGGGGCGGGGCCGGGATCCAGTCGATCCCCGGGGATAGGAGAGGTAGGGGATGGGGTCAGGAGGAACCCAAGAACTGGGAACCCCGCAGTGGGGACAGCGGAGCCAGGAGGGGGCAACGGGACAGGACTGGATTGGGGATCCACTGGCTCCGTGGGCCGGCTTCGAGGGACCAGAAGGCGCTACAAGCGGAGGATCCTAAGAGATCGGGTGCAGGAGGAGGAGTCCGCGGCAATCCCCAGGAGCCCGGAGCCCGGGAGCGCAGGATCCGCGGTGCAGGGGCAGGGATCCAGCCGGAATCCTCGGGGAGGGGGAGGGATCTAGTCGATCCCGAGGGCGGGCAGGAGTGGGAGGTCCGGGAAGTCAGAGGAGGGTGGGAGCCGGCACGGCTCCTAGAAGGGAAAGCAGGGGTAAGGGGGGTAAGCTTCGGGGGAACGCTCAGCAGACGGAAGGCCCGTACTCCTGGCTCCGCGCGTCAGGGCCCTCCCTCCCCGCGTCCATCCCAGCCCGAGAGTGATGATCCGCTGGCGGAGCAGCCGCAGCAGCCCCGCGCGTCACCGCGCGGCCGCCTCCCCCGCCCCCTGCAGAGAGAGAGGCGCACGCCCCTCGCTCGCACCCGCTTGTCCGCCCGCCCTCCAGAATGTGGGGGAATTGGAGACGGTGGAAGAAGGCGGAAGTGGACAGGCCCACGGATTGACTAAGTGGACTGGGGCAGGATGGAAAAATGGCCCCCCATATCTCCCACCCTCGGGTCTCTCGTTGTTGCGGGCGGGGGGAGCTATAGGGGGCGGGGCATCACAAGAAGAAGGCGGGGCCTTCGGACCTGGAGGAGGAGAGCCATATGGACAGCGGGCGGGATTTAATTGCGATGGGTGGGGCTTGGGTACCTGTGAGGCCGCCTCTTTCTGAGAGTGGTTCTGATTTAAAGCTGAAAAGGAGGAGCCTGTGGGGAAAGGGGCGGAACTTTGCGTGGGGACCGGGATCTTTGGAAATTGGCCGGAGGTGGGAGGGGAGATGTTAGAAGAGACAATCAACTTGGAAAGTGGGCCAATCCGTGACGCAAATCCTTTAGTACCGCCCCACCAACCCCGCCCCCACTGCTTCCCTTCTCCGCTCCTTATTGGTTCTGGTGTCTCCGCCCGCCAGACGTCTTCGCCACTCAACAGAGGTTTTACAAAGACTCAAGTACCCTGGACGCTGAAATGAACACCTCCCGGATTGGGCACCTGTGTATCTTATTTGCATGGAATCTCAGGATTGGCTGGCCTCCTGGGTGGCCTGGGCGGTGTTCGCCCTGCGTGTGACCATCCACAGCCATGGCCTGGGCAGGTGCAGCTTTCCGCCGCTTGGGCGCCTTGTCTGGAGCCGGGGCCTTAGGCTTGGCTTCTTACGGAGCCCACGGTCAGTGGGCTGGGGATGGAGCTGGGATTGTGCTTGGGGCGACCTTTGGGGTCTGGTGGAGGGGCGGAGTCTATGGGAAGTGCCAGGGCTCCGATGGACCAGACAGCCCGCGAAGCCCTAAACCTTTTCAAGTCCGTCAGCCAGGTCCATTTAGTTCCCAGAACTGCCCATGCGTGCTTCCACCAGTCAAGAAGCCTCCTTGGGACGCTCTTTCTCTCCAGTGTCCACCTGGGTCCTTTGGAGAGGGGGGCGTTAGCACTGGTAACCTTTGCCTCTGCTTTCCACAGGCGCCAGGTTTCCGGATGCCTACGGGAAGGAGGTGAAGTAATGCGCTGGGGCTCCCCGACTTCCGGGTCTATGAACGCGTGAAGTCTGGGGTCCCTGAGGGAAGTAGGGGAGAGGCGGAGTGCGGGTCTCCGGGGCAGCAAGGGCTGCAAGCCTGAGGCTGGGGTGCCTGAGGGAGAGGCAAGCTGGGAATTCTGCTGGGGGACGTACTTTTGTGTACAGGCTCTTGCATCCCTGAGGAAGTACCCCCCCATTTCTCATTTTCTTACAGCTCTTTGACAAGGCCAACAAACACCACTTCTTACACAGCCTGGCCCTGTTGGGGGTGCCCCATTGCAGAAAGCCCCTCTGGGTAATCTTTACCTCTTGCTTAACCCTGACCAAGCCCCACCCACTCCTCAGTGTGCCTTTTTCTTACTAGCTTGTATTCTTCCTTGTATCTTCTTCAGGCCGGGTTACTGCTCGCCACTGGAACCACCTTATTCTGCACCAGCTTTTACTACCAGGCTCTGAGTGGAGACCCTAGCGTCCAGACTTTGGCCCCTGTGGGAGGAAGCCTTCTACTCTTGGGCTGGCTTGCCTTGGCATTTTGAGCTTCCTTGTGTTTAATTTCTGGGTACTTTTTAAAGAGGTGGAGCAGGGAGGGGATTAAAAGAGAAAGGCAAACAAAGAACTTTGGAGTCTTTGTATATTTAACCTCATGGAGGAGGAAAGGTAGGGATTGTCAACCTCTGAACTACCTCCCTTTCCTAAGACTGAATCAGTGAGCTTTGGGTCTGGAAATTCTGCTCACTTCAAGTTAACTTGTTTTGAGGTTCTTAAATGGGTAGGCATCAGAGTCATAAAGAATGCTTGAAATAATGCAGATTATCACTGAAGCCCTCTCTGGGGCTTGGAAATGTGTATACTGATAAACTCATCTCATGGTTCTGATGCTCACTGGAATTTGAAGATTACTGTAGGGTAGTGGTTTTCAACCCTGTCATTCCACAAATTTATTGAGCACTCACTTACTCTAGAAGTCAGAGTTAAGACAAGGCAGGACAGGAGAAGTGCCCTTATTTGTGGTTTTACTTTCCACAGTTTCATTTTGCACAACTTCAGTTAACCCACAGTCAACTGTGGTCCGGAAATACTAAATAGAAAATTCCAGAAATAATTCATAAGATTTAAATGGTGCGCTGTTCTGAATAGTGTGATGAAATCTCCCCCTGTTCCACTCTGTCCCACCGGGATGTGAATCATCCCTTTGTCCAGTGTTACCAGCCCATTAGTCACTTAGCAGCCATTTCAGTCAGTTACCAGATTGACTGTTGTGGTATCACAGTGCTTGTGTTCAAGTAACCCTTATTTTATTTAATAATGGTCCTGAAGTGCAAGAGTAATAATGCTGGCAATTTGGATATGCCAAGAGAAGCCATAAAGTGCTTCCTTTAAGAGAAAAAGTGAACATTCTTGACTTAATAACGAAAGAAAAAAAAATCATCTGCTGAAGTAGCTAAGATCTAGGGTAAAAATGAAACTTCTATCCATGAAATTGTGAAGAAGGAAGAAATTTGTGCTCGTTTTGCTGTTGCACCTCAAACTACAGAAATTACAGCCATAGTACTTAAGATGAAAAAGGCATTAAATTTGTAGGTGCCAGAAATGAACAGAAAACATCCTCCAATAGATGGCAATCTGTCATGCCAGGAAGCATTGAACCTATATGAAGACTTCAGCAAGGGCATGTATGTATAGGAAAAAAACAGAAAATAGCATATATAGGATTCAGTATTATCTGTGGTTTCAGTCATACACTGGGAGTCTTGGAATGTATTCCTCTCAGATATGGGGGGACTGCTATAATTACATAATATTTTGGGATTCAAAGCAGGGGCAGAGCACCATGTATTAGGGGTTAGAAAATGCTTCACAATGTTTGAGATGACCCTTAAAAGAACTCTGTTGTGTGAAGCAAACACAGTGAACAAAGAGACAGGTGCGGAGCTAAGGACTATGGGGATAAACAAGTCTTCAGTGTGGGCCAAATTTCTGAGTTAGGCAGAAAAGGAGTGAGAAAAGGTGGCAAGGCAGGCTGGAGGAGCACTCACAGCATGTAGAGAACTGGAAGATATTTAAGGGGCAATATTTATTAAACCAGTGTTAATTAAGTATTGATCATGTGTCAAGGACATTACAAGGAAATTCAACTGTGAACAAGACAGATACCATCCTTTCCTTCATGGAGTTTTCCATCTAGTAGTGGAAATAGACTTTAAACAACTAAACAAATACATTATTATGAGTTGTGCTGTGCTTGAAAAAAAAGAACAGGAAGGAAGTGGGGCAGTGGAGGTTGTGCCCCTTTAGATAGGAAGGCCTTGCAGAGAAGGTCCATTTGAAGTGGGAGCTAACCATGCATAAAGTGGGAAGGAAGCATATTCTGAGTAGAAAGAATAGCTGACAAAACAGGCCAAAAAGGAGCAGTTCAAAATCCTTGAGGCAGGAGAAAATTGGCTGAGTTGGAGAAGCAAAACCAGTGTGGCCAACATAGAGTGTTGTTAGGTAATTAGGGGGTCCGGGATGGTCAGTATAGGTCCTTGTAGACAGGCACTCAGAGTTTGTTTGTAGTATGACAATAAGTCATTGAAAGATTTTTAAACTGAGAGTGCTAGGATCTGATTCGTATGTTTAAAAGATTTATATGTTTAACCAATTGGAGGAAGGCAAGGATGGCTACAGGGAAACCAGTCAGGAGGCCACTGAAGAGGACCAGGTGTAAGATGATGATGGTGACTTGGCTTAGAGTGGAAGTGGTGGTGAAAAGGGTCTAATTCAGAATATATTTTAAAGATAGTGCTGATAGGTCTTGCTGGTGGATTGGACATAAAGGGTGGATGAAAGGGAGATTTCTGGTTTACACACCTGATTCGATGGAGGTGCTGTTACTCAGATGAGAAAAACTGAAGGAAGGGTAGATTAGGGAGAGGCTGATCAGAAGGTAAGTTTTGGACATGTTGCTTCTGAAATGTCGGAGACATCCAAGTGGAGGCACCAAGCAGGTAGTTGGGACGCTCAGGGAGGTGTCTGAGCTCAGCAGAGAGGTCTGTTTACTCTGCAACCCACTTTGGTCAGTCTTCTGTCCCATCTCTTCCCCATAAATGCTCTTGTAATGATTCCATGAATCACTATGACCTGGTTGCCAGATCCAATGGATGATTTTCAATCTCATTTTCCTTAGCCTCTCTGCAATATTTGACACTGTTGGCCACACTGTCCTTGAAACGCATCATGTTGCTTTTATGACACCACTCTCCTGGTTTTCCCTATTTCTGTGGCTGCTTTGCTAGCTTCTCTTCTATGCAGTTTAAATCAATGGTTTCCACATTTTAACAACAACAAAAAAAATTAAAACTCTTATGTATACATATTTTAATTTCACCTTTTTTTTTTTAAGATTTTATTGGGGGAGGGGAACAGCATTGAGAAATCGGGGAAGGGAAACAGTTGCTGTCCTTTTGTTCTTCAGTCTAGTTGTGGAGGACACTGCTTCACTGGTCCATGTTGGTATTATCATTGCGCTCTTCCCGGGGTAGGCAGTTACTCACCGGCCATTGGACGGACACTCTCGGTGGCTCACAGCAACTCACGAAAGCTCATGCCCGCTGCCAGCCAGCCCCACTGCAGCCTACGCTGTCGCTGGCGACTTATGGCAGCTCAGCTCCAGGTCGAGCTGTTGTTCACCATCTTAGCTATAGAGGGCACAGCGTCCCTGGCCCTCATGTGGGATCTGAACCGGGGCCTTGCTGCTCAGAGCTGGCGTCCCAAGCCAACTCCTAACCAATGCGCCACTCAGCCGGCCCTCATGCTTTTTAATTTCTATTTTTGTGTATGTTTTATAAAGTTCATATCTGTAGTATACTGGAGGTGCATACTTAATTTTTCTGAAGGTGTGCATTAAAAAAGGTACAGACCATTTCTCTAAATGAGAGGGTTTTTAGGTAATCTCATTCCACCCTATATCTTTAATTATGATCTGCATACATATAAATCCAGGATTTCTGTCTCCCACCCCACTCCCTACTCCAGACTCCTGTAATAGCTGCAGTGAAGCAGAGTGTTCAACGGAGACCCGAAGGAGTTAGATGATGAGGAAAGGGGCGTGTTCTAGACCAAGGCAAGAGCTTTCAAGAGAGAAAGAGAAAAAGAGAAAACCCACTGCATTTGCGAATTCATGGTTCCTGGTTTGAAGATCATGAGAGGGTCAGTAGTGAAAGATGTGGATAGTAGGTAGAGGGCCGTGTGCTGAGATGTTGGACCATCTTCTGAGGACAATGGGGAGCCACTGAAACATTTATATCTAGGGAAGAGGCATGATTTGAGGTGTATTAGAGGATCACGATATTTCTTTATTTTAAAGATGTGTAAAATGAGGTCTTGGGGGACCTTCAGAGTGGCCCAGAATGCCAGTGGCAGAGCCAGCACTGGATTTTCAGACTCCTGTCTCCCCGTCCAGTGCTCTTAATGCATTTCCATCCTTCATCTCAGGCAATGTCTGGGATGTGGAGAACCTCCAGGTAGAGGAGACCTCAGCATCTGGAACCCTCCATGTAATGTGATCTCTAATCCTAATACCTTAGCTTTGGTCCTGCCAGTGAGCTGGGCTCTTAGGGAACCAAGATAAATAAGGCCTGCCTGATAATTTGTTCCTATGATAATTTGTTCCTATCATTACTGCACATTGCATTCAGTCTTCTCAACAGTTCTGCAAATTAGTGGAAAGTGAAGCTAAGAGAGGTGCGGTAACTTGTTCTATATCATACAGCTAGTACCTGAGTAAGCTGTGATTCAAACTCTCTTCTGTCCAATTCCCAGAGCTAAGTTCTTTCCTACTTGTACATACCAAGAAACTCAGATTTCTATAGTAAAGATATGAGGTCAGACAATTAATTTCACGAACTCATCCTAGAAAAAGTGCTACATACCTCATTGCTGAATATCACTATCGTCACCTACGAAGCACTCCCCTTAGGAAGCTATGCACTGATGCCAGCACCTAGTCCACCCTTCAAAGCAATTTTGAACTCTTTTTCTGGAATGGCCATCAGAGCTGTTGTCATATTACCCTTGATGTCCCGAATGTCATCAAAATGTCTTCCTTTCAATATTTCCTTTATCTTTAGGTAAAGAAAGAAGTCATTGGGGGCCAGATCAGGTGAGTAGGGAGGATAGTCCAATATAGTTATTTGTTTACTGGCTAAAAACTCCCTCGCAGACAATGCTGTGTGAGCTGGTGCATTGTTGTGATGCGAGAACCATGAATTGTTGGCACAAAGTTCAGGTCATCTAACTATATTTCACACCACCTTTTTAGCACTTCCAAATAGTAAACTTGGTTAACTGTTTGTCCAGTTGGTACAAATCCATAATGAATAATCCCTCTCATAGCAAAAAAGGTTAGCAACATCATTGCAAGAAGTTCTCAACTTAATTGTCAGACCTCTTAAGCCCTTTAAAACATAATTTGATACAATGTATTCAGTATTACAAGCAGATACTGAGGTTGGCTTGTTTTGCCTTTGGGGACTGGTAAGACTTCCATTTACCTGCTGGGTTTTCAGCATACATAGTTCACCAAAAAAAACCAGGACAAGATCATACTGGAACAAGTCAAGAGGGAGGACAGGAGTGTTTGGAGCTCAGGATGGAGTGGGCAGCAGGAAAAGACCAAACAGTAAGGTTGGAGCCCGCACTGTGAAGAGTCTCCTGGGCCAAGCCTGAGTCAACTTTAACTGCCCTTTTCCTCACATCCTATACCCAAGTCATCATCAAGTCCTGCTGGCTCAAAGGCATAACCGGAATCTGACCATTTCTCACCACCTCTATTCCTACCACTCTGGCTCCTGGTCCAAGCCACTATCAAATCTTACCTAGCTTTTTGCAAGAACTTCCTTCTGCCCTTGCCTACCTACAGCCTACTCTGGATAAAGGAGGGAGGGAGGGAGGGAGGGAGGTAGGGAAGGAGGGAGGGAGAGAGAGAGAGAGAGAGAGAGAGAGAGAGAGAGAGAGAGAGAGAGAGAGAGATTTCTAACACAGTAGTTCTCAGCCTTAGCTGCACATTAAAATCTGCTGGGGAATTCTCAAAAAGTTCTTATGTCTGCACCTCACACCAGATATTCTAAATTAGTTGCTATGAAGTGGGGTCCAGGCAGAGGTATTTTTTAAAGCACCCTGGCTGATTCTAACTTGTGGCCAAAGTTGAGGGCCAGTGTTTCAGTATGTCTCATGTATCTTCTCTGTCCAAACCCTTCAATACTTCCCATTTTACTCAGAGTATAATCCAATGGTCTACAAGGCCTATGTGATCTGGCCTCCTTTCACCTCTTTTGCCTCCCCCTTGTTCATTCTACTCCAGCCACACTGGCCTCCTTTTTGTTCATTGAACAAGTAAGGCACACTTCTGCCTCAAGGCCCTTGCCCTTGTTCCCTTTGCTTGAAACACTCTTCACTTGGAAGTCTGCATGGCTCAATGCTTGACCTCCTTTAGGTTTTTGCTCACCTATCACCTTCTTAGTGATGTCTTCCTAGTCCACCCTCTTTAAAATTGCAACTCCTGCCCACCATTCTGGTTCCTCCTTATTCTTCATAACACTTGTCACCACCTGACTGCTGATATATTTTATTTACATTATCTGTCTCTTCTCCACTAGAATATAAACTCTAGGAAATCAGGAATTTTTCTTTAACTCATATATATTCCTATCACCTTAAATGCTGTCTGGCATACAGTAGGTGCTCACTAAATCTTTGTTGAATAACTGAATTTCTGTATATGTATTTTGGTGGAGGCTGGTCCATGGTTTAGGCCATGTAGAATCTGGGGCACTTAGGGATACCAGGAGCGAGGTCAGGGACTTGGTCTGAAGCAATGATGACTGAAGCTGTGGGAGCAGCTGACCAGCCCAGAGGAACATGGACATGGGGTAAAGGAGCCCCCCAAACCAGATTCTACCCATGTTCATCTTGATGGGTTTCACCTCCATCTGCCTGGTCACCAGACAGGCACCTGGGGTCATCCCAGACTCACTGTCACATGTCATTCTCCCGGAAAAGTTTTGTATTGTCTAAGTACCTCCAAAGTCTGCCACGTCTGTGTCTGCGCTACCACAGCCATCCTCTCCCCCAGCCTGCTGCCAAAAACCCAGCCTGGGTGCCTCCACCATTGTTCTCCACATAGCAGTTTTAATGGTTTTTCTAAAACACAAATTTGATCTCCCTTTCTCTTAAAATCTTTCAGTGGGCTCCGTGCTGTCCTTGAGGCCATGTCCCAGCTCCCGCAGGCCTTCTGTGCAAGTGGACTGGCCTCCCTCTCTAAACTCATCTCTTGCTATTCAGCCTATAGGCCCCCAAAGCACAGGAGGACTTCCTCACACCTGGGGCCTCTGCTCATGACTAAGAAGGGACACGTTTTGGGAGAATTTCCTGCTGACTAGGCTGCCTCCTCTGGTCCTCCTGAACCTAACCTCACACACACTCACTAATGACACTATTTGGCAGCCTATCCGGGCTGGGTGCGCCTGAAGGAAGTACTATCACTGCAAGGCATCGGTGTGGGTCACTGCTGCGTTAAGAAGAGAGAGAGAGGTAGCCCAAGGGAGGTGGAAAGGGAGCCAGGAGCCTGTCCTACAGGCCAATGAGTGAAAGTGAAGGGTGTTCCGCCTCGTCAGCGAGGCCCGAATTGCCCTTGGGAGGAGGAGCCTGGGGTCTTGCGCCGCGCCAGCTACCCTCGCTACCCACCGAGCAGCATTGAGTACTCTGCCGCCTGCAGACCTGGCGGGGGTCGCAGGGATAGATCTCAGCCGGCAGCCGTCTCCGGGCGAACTCCTTCTCTGGCCTTCAGAAGCCGAACGGAAGAGGCGGGGACGCCTACCATGCTAAGAAGCTGGCGGTGCAGGGTCTGCGGCCAAACAGGAGAGCCAGTATCCTTTCTGCGCAGGCGCGCTGCCCAGGCCGGGAAGGGCGGGGCCTGGACGGTCGAGGGGCGGGCCCACATCCTGGGCCCGCCTCCACTAACTCTTTTTTTTTTGCTTCGAGAGTGCTGGGCACCCGGACTATTCTAAGGGCTTCAGGTGAGCGGGGGGCGCAGAGGGGTCAGGAGACCTCCCTCGAGGTCGGGCCGTCGGTCTGATTGCGGGTCCATCTGTCCTGCCGTCTGCCAACACCCGCTTACAAGAAGAATGGGAGAACAAAGGGAGGGGGCGGTTCTGGGGCCCCTGAGGGAATCCAGGGTCCCAGGTACTTCGCCCCGCCCGCTGACACTTTCGGTTTCTCCCCGAGTCAGAGACGCCGCCCAAGAGACCCTGGGCCGGCGCCGGGCGCAGCTGCCTCTCCGTGTTTGCCTGTCCGTCTTTGTGTCTGTCTCTGTGTCTGTCTGGCTGTCTCCGAGCTTGCCTCCACTTTTAGAACTAAGCTTAACGGACACCGACATCCTGCGAACCCTAGCCCCTTTCCTATGGCAGGTAAGTGGGAGCAAGGCCGAGGGTCTCCGTTGTCCCCCCACGGACTTGGGAGCCGGGTGTCGAATGCATCCTTCGGGAATGTGCTCGGACTGGCTAAGTGGGGCCCCTCCCTTCCTCCCAGGCAGCCACCGCCCTGCTCCCCCGCCCCGTCTTTCTCAATCTCTTCCCATCACATTTTCCCCGCAGCCACGCGGTTGCCTGTGGGCTAAGAGAGAAAGGGATGAGGCCGTGAGGCTCTTTCTAATCTACCTCCCCGTCCCTCCACAGGTTACTTGCCCCCCAAAGGCTACGCCCCTTCTCCCCCACCTCCCTATCCTGTGACTGCTGGGTACCCGGACCCTGTCCATCCTGGGTCCGGGCAGGCGCCAGTGCCTGCCCATGTGCCTGCCCCTGCGCCCGGCTTCGCTGTCTTTCCCTCAGCCGGCCCCGGGTCCCCAGGGCCTGCTGCCCCCTTTTTGCCACTGCCCGGGGTGCCTACTGGCCTGGAATTCCTGATGCAGGTGAGTGGGAAGGGGAGAGAGGAGTGATGGGGAGAGGACCAGGGCTTGCAGGCCGGCCAGCTGAGGTGGGCGTGGCCCCTACTCTCTTTCCAGATTGATCAGATCTTGATTCACCAGAAGGCTGAGCGAGTGGAAAGTGAGTGGAAGGACCACTAGGTTTGGCCTCGTGACGGGGGCAGATATAGTGGGCTCTTGGGCAGGAACTGGTGCCTGAGCATCAGCGTGTCACCCCTTGGCAGCGCTCCTAGGCTGGGAGACAAGTAACCGGTATGAACTGCGCTCTGGGGCCGGACAGCCCTTGGGTCAGGCGGCTGAGGAGAGCAACTGCTGTGCTCGTCTGTGCTGTGGCGCCCGCCGGCCCCTGCGTGTCCGCCTGGTGGACCCCGGGGACCGAGAGGTGCTGCGCTTGCTCCGTCCCCTCCACTGTGGCTGCAGCTGCTGCCCCTGTGGCCTCCAGGAGGTGGGCGGGGAGGGATGGGTCAGGGAAAGGTTGGGGTAAGGGGCAGGCCATAATGGGGAGGACCAATGATGGAGCAGCTCCTTCATGAAGCGTGGGAGTGAACAGGTGGGACTGGAGGTCTAATGAGGGTGATGACAGGTGGGACTTGAGGTCTGGTGGAGGGGATGGAAGGTCTTGTTAGGGGAGACAGGTGATAAAGCTGGAGGGGTGGGGAGAGGGGGTGGTCACTTTGTGAGGAGTGAAAAGTATAACTATTGCATTGTTTTGTACACCTAAAACTAATAATTAAAAAAAAAAAAAAAGCTGGAGAGGTCAGAGCTTGGGCCAGGGTGCCTTGGCTCAGCAGTGACCCTATCTGTTTCCCACTCCAGATGGAAGTACAGGCTCCACCCGGCACCACCATTGGTCATGTGCTACAGACCTGGCATCCTTTCCTCCCTAAGTTCTCCATCCAGGACGCTGATCGCCATACAGTCCTGCGAGTGGTGGGGCCCTGCTGGACTTGTGGCTGTGGTACAGACACCAACTTCGAGGTATCAGGAATAAGGAGAAATTCCTGGGAACTTCATAAACTAGAATGGCAGCTTCCATGAGGCAGGATGGCCAACACTAAGGTCAAGACCCTGAGCTCATCAATCCAAATCCACTGTGACTCCTACCACATTTCCAGTGTTCCTCCATTCAGAAATAGAATAGCTCCATGGTCTTATAAAAGCATGACAAAGTGGATTTCATCCTGAGGACCAATGCTAATTGTTAGCGGCAGCCCTATGTTAAGGGGGTAAAGATCTAAGGCCAGGCTGAATTTTTTTTTTTTTTAAGATTTTTATTGGGGTTGGTTAAGAGCTCGCTCAAGAGTTTGAGCTCTGAGCAACAGCGGTTCGAGTCCAGCCCAAGCTGAGCAGCTGCTGAGCTGCCAACAGGTAGCAG